CCTGGACCCCACCGTTCTCGTAGCCACGCTTCTTGTTGTCCTCAGATGTGGACCACAGTTCCCCATTTACAGCACGCTCCTACACGTCCCTATAAAAATGTCTATCAAAGGATGGAGTTTGAGATGGATACTGAGGAGGTGGAAGGGAGGGAGGTGACGAATCTCACCAACTCTCCACCATGGTAAAGGAGTACCCTAAAACGGGAAAAATTACCTAATTTCTCTTCAAAAGTCGAATATGTATTTTCAGCAATGAATACCGCGCTCTGTAACTGGAACATAACCTCCTCCCACCAAATAAGACCCCTCACCGTCCTACCGTTGATGATTCCGCACTGCACAGCTTGCCTCAATGGATATTTATTGATCGCACCATCGGTAGGAATGTTGGTATTTTCGTGACTTACCAAGTTGAACTGTTTGATGACGGACGCACGGCTGTCCAAGGCATCTCTGAGGCTTTCATTTGTCTCGTGAAGTTTTTTGTTCGCTTCACTGAAATTTAAATAAAGTTCTGTACAATACGGTTGTTTCATGTCAACGAAACTCACAAAAGAAGCTGTATTTGGCGCTGCATGGTTTCGCTTTCTTGGGATACGACGGAGACTTCGTCTGAAACCGATGGTTTTCATGACTTACTGGTGGAAAAAAAATCGATTCGTTCACCTTTCTGTCGAATCAGCTCATTTTGCTTGTGCTCGTAATCAGCTCGAACATGAGCCAATTCACTTTTGATCATCGCCAATTCGAGGTGGTTTTCCGCAAGACCACGACGGAGCTCATTATTTTCCGAGCATACTTCCTGCAGTGTCATTTGATTTTAAATGTGATTTTTCTAACGATTTTGTAACACACGCAGTCTCAATCGCAGCGGTCGTCGGGACGTGTCAAGGAGGTGGGGTTTTGGCGCGGTCGTTCCCCAAGTAATCGTGGAATCTCAGGTACCCACAATTGGTGGGGAACTGGCTGGCATCGCGAAAAGCCCAGCTCTTCCGTGATATGTCCAGCGTCAGCAGGGAATAAGACTGTTCGTTGCAACACGCAGCAGCAGGACCCAAGGCCTATGCGACGAAAGAGATAAGGCAGAGGTCTCTCTATAATGGCTAGCTGAACCTTCTCTAAAAAACCCATGAAGACAGGCCCTGGCTATTAGAATCATACAACAGTGTACAGTATTGAAACGATGAACCTTGAGACGTTCTTGTAACTCCTTTTGATGACTGAGCTTCTGTCCCTCTTTTTCCAATAGGCTCTCCATTTTTTGTAACCTTTCAATGTTACTTTGCATAGTTCGCATTTCTTCGGCCATACGTGACTGCATTTCTTCCTTTTCTTTTGTTAACTTACTTCTTTCCTGGAAAACTTCTACAATTGTCATTTCCCACAGTGTTTATCGGAGCGTTGAGTGGGGGCGTTCCTATGTGCATACGTTTCGGTGCTGCACCAGCCTATTTCGCTCTACGGTTTCTCGTTCCATAAAGAGTTTGCGCCGCGCCAAAACGCACAGTCATGATTCCTGAAAGCGATAGGGCGTGTGATGGGACGTGGCTTGGAGCACAGCTCGGGCGCAATTTCCATCAATTGAAGCGTTGTTCAACATGGCACCATTGGCGGAAAAAAGGCGCCCTAGCTGCGCTTCAATTCACGCCGCGTCACGAGCCTATCCGTTTGCAGTGATCTGACTGTACGTACGCAGAGATGCCTCCACCCAGCACTCCGTTGAGCGTGTATTTGTGCACTATTCTAAAAGCTGTATCTTACTTTATGGGAAAAGAACTGCGAAAAGTCCTTAACTACCTCTTCTCGTGCTTTTCGCTCAGCCAACATCACCTGCTGATCCAATTCAATTTCCACTTCTTCCATTCGTTTGTTGTACATATCTTTTTCACTGAAACGCGTTAAAATTTTCTAAAGTTACAAGCGGTTTTTCTAAGGTCTTCTTCTTCCATCGCCCTGCTTTTAAAGTCCCTTCTTCAGGTTTTTGGAGCTATGATATGGATGCGGTGGATTTCTTTCTGCGGTGCCGTTTTCTAATTTTGTCGTAGGTGAAGTCCTTATAACCCCAAAAACTACCCTTCATTTCTTCCAAGGTGCCCGAGCCCTTTAGCATGCAATATATTTGATGTCGAATTTGCAGGGGAGGGTCTATAAAAGCCTGGTGGCTTTAATGTGAGAAGGAGCCGAGATGATTTTTCGCTGTAAAACTTTGGCAACGCAAAAAAAGCGATATGAGCACTCCATATACCCAATATTGGGAAGGCGTGGCTGTGTGCTCCATTTGAAAATTTCGTAGGACAACTTTCACGTAAGCATATTTCTCTTTAAAACGCCTAGCATACTGGATTGTCGTAGCTAACGACATGATCATGATTCCCCCAAAACGAAAGGATCCCACGATTACCATGGCCACGCTATGTTCAAATAATGTGGGCAGCCACGCCCACCGTATCGCTGCTACGGAGTGTACAGATATGCAAAAAGCTTGAGAGGAATGGTTACTCACGTTTCAAAAATATGTTGTAAACGTTGGTTTTCATCTTTTTGGTCTTTGATCTCCTTATAAAAGGAGCCGACAATGCGCTCGAATTTTCGAAGAAGCTGCGGTACACCAGCAGACTGTAGTTGCTGGTAAAGTAAGACGACTTCTTCTTGGCTGAAATTCATGATGAATTAGGGTAACATAAATGAACTTCAATAAAAATAGGGCCAAAGTTAGGATAGGCCATAGTTTCGGTCTATTCCAAGCGGGAGCGCCAAGCAAGCGATGTGGCGCGACATACCATGGCAAAGAGAAGTCCACACTCAAGTTTTCTGATTCGGAGTTATATACGTCGTCATCCAGAGTTCGTAGGCGTGAAGGCCGAGAGAACTGTAACTAGATTCTAGAAAAATCGAATTGAAAAAATCAAACTAAATAAATCGCGAAAGGGAGATTTAAAATTGGCTAACAATA